AAGATTTGGTAAGTAATAGGTGGGTCTTGATATATTCCTGATATACTAGCTGTTTGTGATTAAATGAAGATACACTTGTGATGAAATATGAAAAATATTTTCTCTTTTGTATTTTGAGATATTTTGGTTAAAATAATTTTTTTAAAATAATTTGAATTAATTTGAGGTTCGGGTTTAAATTGGCCAATATTAAAAAATCAGGTTCAAAAAGGCTCGATGGCAATAGTTCTGGTCCAAAAAGGCCGTTCCTTTTGTCTACTGTCGTCCATGTCACTGTTCCGTTAACGTTGACTAACGGTAACTTAGTCAAGCTCTAAATCAACAATAAAATCGTATGTTTGGATATTGAATTTGAATTAATTTGAGGTTCGGGTTTAAATTAGCCAATGTTAAAAGATCAGGTTCAAAAAGGTCCGATGGCAATAATTTTGGTCCAAAAAGACCGATTTTCCTGTTCTAAGAGCCTCTAGTTAGTTAAGAAACACCCTTGTTGCCAAATATGGTTCTCAAATGAATCAAACCAATCGAAAAGACAACTTGCCATAAATAGATTCGATTTAGGCTGTTTGGAGACATTTGATTTTAGGATCGGTTCAAGACTAGTATTGGATGGTTTATGGTATGTATGGGCTCCTCTGAGTCATTTTAAATGAGGCTTGTATCTGAGTCACCTTTATTCTGGATTAAAATCTTCGAAGATGTCTTGACGAAATATATATGGTACGGTCTGTTTCTTCAACTGTTTATGATATGGTGGCTTCTTGTTCATGTCTTTCACTCCTTGGCTCACCTTATATTCTTCCAAAATGGGTGTGGATCTGATGTCTTCATGAGCATAACATATACCTCTTCTTTTTCAAACGCATTAACAATAGATTTATCCGCCACTTTTTGTAATATGAGTTTACTCTCTCCAACCGGTTTTTCTTCAACGGTGAATATTATGTCTTGCAGTTATCCTTCATCATCTGATTGGTGTTTTTCTTTTCCGAACGCCAAAAATTACAAAAAGTGTCTCTCTTAATGTCTTTGAATCTATTTATAAAATCCTCATAAATTTTGACTTTTTCTAATAAACAGTTTTTTTTTATTCTCACAGAAGCGACGCTTCAAGCTAACAATATTTACTAATTCATTACAAAAAGTTTTTAAAAATATATTTTTTAGCGATGTATTATCATTAACAGGCTATCGAAAATATACAACTTGATTAATCACATATACTAAGTTGATCACGTTAACTCTATGCTTTGAACCGAGCGAACATGTAGAAGCATTTTTGGGCTATTAGTTTCAGTACATTATCATAGACAATCGATAATTAGTTTTCAAAATCTAACATAATCTTTTGTGATGCACTTCAATTTCTCAAAATATTAATACTTTAAAATATTAAATTATAGATGCATATCAATATCAAAAATGGCAAATGTCAGCGTAATAAATTTGAATTTTGTATACATCATCTATAAATTTGTTTAAAGATGAATGATTGATCTTTATTAATCCATGTAAGAAATCTTTAATCCATGTAATGAATTTTTGCGTTGAGTGTATACACATTACAAAAGACGTAGTTTCTAACTTTGAATCCTGATTTGATTGTTTTGTCGAACGAGTTAATATATAATCGTTGTGTAATTCAGATTAAGAATATGGGCAAGTGTAATCATTACCTTGATTGTTAGGCCATGATATTTAGGTTTAATTACGAACTGGTCAAATTTAATCAAACTTGACTACTGATTTTTGGATACGATCATGGCCGAGAAGGATACTCCAAGACCATAAATTCAACAATAAGTTAATTTATTCTCTCTAACATCATTATTTTAGATAAAAAAAATAATTAGCATAGCATGTTATTAATCACTGATCTTTGTATAATACAACATCATCAACATGTTATTTTACATTTTTCAAGATTTAATATTTCACATATACTTATATTATAAATATATACAATGATTGGTTAAATTTTGAGGAGAACTGAGAGACAATAGT